AACCCTCTTTGAAATTTAATCATGTAATTTGCATCCTTCCATTCCCTCCCCGTATTGATAATCAGTCCCGTCTTTAGTCCAAACTTAGCCTAACAATAAGCCCTAACTTTATTCTCCCCTGTTTACTGTGTTTAGTAATACAAAACATTGCTGCTTGTAATATCTCACTGATCGATTTCTTGGTGTTTCGTAGTGATGTAAATAGTTAATAATTTTGTGTTCTTATGCAAAGCATACTCTTTTCTCTTCTTCTTTCTTTCACGAGCTTTTATATTTTTATTAACGTAACAATGTTATATTTTTCTATTTCAAAAAGCGTATTATCTTTACATTTCAAAGAGCTAATTTCAACGAAATTAAAACTACGAAAGCTTTTCGAATAAACATTACATTGAAAATTTTAAATAAAAATGTCAAAACAAATTATTTAATTTTCTTTTTCTGATATGATTTAATAATTATTTTAATATTAAATTAAGCTAAAAAATTCAAAAATTATTCTCTCGAATGTAATTGGAACTATGTTCGATTTCTTTTTAGAATGAAAACAGGTGCTTATACGCTCTTTACATGTATTATTTACGTACAGCGCAAGCTTGCGGATTGATAGGTTATCGGTGTGCTTAGGACGCGAATGAATCGCCATAGCAACGTCAGAATACATTTCCACTTTGATTCGACGCGCGGCATCGCGTCGATGTCACGGCGCATCTGTATCTGTATCTGTATGTGTTTGTATGTATGTATCGCTACAGAGAGCTCCGAACTAGAGTCGGCGCGGCGTGGCACGTCGTTGCATTCGGCCGCACGGATGCATCCACGTGAGGACAATCATAATGACACTACGCGTCTACACGCAGCTCCCGTTTCTCGCGAAAGGCGGAAGACGCGGATCGGAAATGCGAAAGCTCGTACTTATTTAACTTGATTGTCATTATAATTAATCTTTCAATATATATATGAGGAGAACAAAATTATACATATATAAATTTGTTTTCTTTCTAGATTAAAAAATTAATTATATATATAAAATAATCATTAATAATTTTGTATATTAGAATTATTATTATTTTATATTTTAATAATATATATTGTTAAAAAAAATAGAAAATTGAAGATTAATGAATATATATGATAGTGAAATAATTTTGATTACACCCTATGTAATTTTTTGCTTTTATAATAATTTAAGAATGATTTAATTATTTTTTTCTATATTAAAAACGATAAATTTTTCTTGTTAAAGTAAAATGATCCAATGACGTCTCTTGTGCTAAACTCCTCGCACTTTGTTCATTATAGTTGAAAAGCGATTTCGTTCAGTTGCAGCCAGTACAAAGATTTTACAGCACAATAGAATATACAATACGGTAGCACAAAATGGTGTCATATTTTCAACGAAGAAGTTTCATATAATAAGTCCAACTCTCTCTCTCTCTCTCTCTCTCTCTCTCTCTCGCAAAGTACTCCAACTTTAAATCAATATATTTGTTTCGCATGCGCTGTTTTATCGTCGAACAACGTTAAAAATCCAACGACTTTGCGCGAACTTCAAGATTGAATTACATCAGATTTGGCAAAAAATCACGATCGCCGGCGTCGTGGACGGGAACAAAAACAATCGATCAGCAGAATCGTGCTCGGCAAGTCGATTAGTCGTGTCGTGAAATCCGAAATCTTCCGTGGACACTCTCGGGAAATCGTCCGTAATAAATCGACTAAAAGTGGGGAAAATTCGCCCCGCGTCGGTTAGAATAATGATGTAACCAAGGTAACTTTGCTCCAAAACGGAAAATTTTCTAATGAGAAATATTCAAAAGCGCAGGAAAAAAAGAGAGAATAAAGCTTTCAATCAATAAAAATAAAAATAGAAGTAGAATAATATAGAGGTAAAATGTTCACATATTAATTTTAGAAACTTTCGTTTATTACTTTTGCAAAAAATGTTTATAGGAGACTCGCAAAATATATATTCTAAATAGGAAGAAATTTTAACGAATTTCTGATATAGGAAAGCTTGTTTTCGCTCACGCGACGTCTTCAATCGTAGTTTTTCGCGTGTTTTCGTCTGGGAGCTTTTTTTCGGAATCGAAATTCGCCCGGACACGAAAGAGAGATAGAATGAGTCGGATAATGTAGCGATGGGATGAAGCGTGATTTAAACGGTACTGATATTTTTTTCGACGAGGCATCGAATACGGAAGGTCAATCGCGGTTCCGAAGGTCGCGACCTTCTCTTCCGTGGAATTAACCCCTCTTATTCAGAATTGCTTGATAGCTAGAGCCTACTGTGAGTTACGTCGTGTTGCAAGGTACATTGCACCTTGATAGACGTGCAATTTCTCATGATTACCGATTCGCTTGTTTCAAATCATTTGCACTAAGGTTTCAGAATAATAAACTATAATAATTAATGAGTAGCTAAATAATTAATTAAAATATTTGGAAAATATCCCATAAATCAATTTTACATATAAAATATACATATATATTATATACATATGTATAACAAAATACAGATCTCTCTTTAAAATTTCAGTTACACATTTTGCACAATAAATTGACATATAATTTGACAAATATGTCACAATAAATTGAGATTCATGAAATTAAGGGATTATTATGATTGATATATTTTGAGACTAAAATTCGCAAATTGCATTTGTTACTGGAATAAGAAAATGAAATCTAAGGCTGTCTGTTTCTTAAATGTAAATTACATTTTGACAAGTTTATGAGTGCTGTTTAACGTTGCACGCGGAATTAACATAAAGTGATGAAATGCGATGCGAGCGTGATTCAATTATTAGATCGGACAGCGATTATTCTAACGTCCGTCGATGGCTTTCGCCGAGAGAGAGAGCCGCTTGTGAATCGATTGAAAATTACAGCTCGGGAATTGGATCGGGCCCATCGCTAGCGTCGGTTCGGAAGCCGGGAAGGAAAGAGACGAGAAACACACGTTGGGGGAGAAGCACGGCGAGCGAATAAGTGGGGACGACGGAATGAAGCCCTGTGGTGGGATGAGGGTGGTTGAGGGTGCACGAGGACGGGGGAGAGGGATGTGGCGAGGGAAGGGCGGCATGAAACAAAGACAAGGGGAGCGAGTAAGGGGTTGAGAGGGAAAGAACGAAAGGGAGGAACGGTAGCGATGGAGAGAGAGACGGTAGAAGCCGACCGGTAGAAAGGTTATAGTAGAAGAGAAACTACTATTGGAAGAACTCTCTCGGGCGCAAGAGGGTAGAAGGGAGGAGGCATAGTGGAAAGGGAAAAGGGAGGGTGAATTTGCGGGGTTGGGGGAAAATACGGACGAATACAGACATATACACATACGGAGAGCTAAAAGATGAAAGTATAACCCGGACAACAGTGGCTCCCAAGCCAAATAGAACATTATGTCACGTATAAATAAAGTCGTTTCCCAACTTTGGCCCGATAGATATTGCAACGCCAATAAATTATCTTCCGCCAGCTACCGTATAAAATCGCCCTGGGCGTGTACGAGGTAAATCACGCTTCGTTCGGCGCGTTGCACAATTACCGAAAGAGTGTCTTTCTTACGGCGCGCGGGTTTTCACTCGTGCGGAAAATTTATCGGATTATACAGAGTCAGTGGCCATAGAGAAAGAGAGCGAGAGAGAGAGAGAGAAGCCACGCTCGGAGAAACGCGGGAAAAATTATTTTTTTTTGTTCCCCTTTTAAAATTAAAAGCTCCGATAAATTAATACACCCACATTTATATAATTATTATCGTTTCTGTTAAAAAGATAAATGCATCGTAAGATAAGTATAATTATGCATAATTATACTTTTTTTCGGGTAATTATTCTATTTTACTTTATTCTTTCTCCCTCTTATATACACACAATATTAAAAATAGATATAAAAATGGATAGAGATAATTCTTCATGGAATAGTAACTTTGTGTCAGAGAGAAAACTAAAAAGATTACAGATAAACAAACATTAATGAATAAAACAAATTTCTATATTTATTGTATACATAGCGCAGATCATGAAGTCATTTGGGTAGTCATGCGATATGATATCGTTAAAGTTTGCGCAAGCGTTTGAACTCTGCTCAAATGGGTGATAATAATTTATGCGTTTAATGCGAAAAGCGGATGCATACGGGGCAAGTAGTAAGTCAAACTTGGCGAAAATGACATCGCTCTGCAAGCGCAAGCGAACAATTAAATTATCGGGGAGGCGCGGTAGATAACGATGCACTCGAGGGTGCAGCATAAACCACCGGGTTATGTCGCGTGGATTATGTGCATATATAACATTTCACGTAGTGGGAGGAAGAGAGAGACTGTATTACACACACACACACTCTCTCCCTCTCTTTCGTCCCGACACAGTTGATCTCCGCGAAAGCTCGAGCGTGAAAGTTCCTGGCATTCTCACGTAGAGTCGCTACCTCTCAATTGAAAGTCGGTAAACGCGACGAGAGCCACATTGTAGATAGGTAAACGTAAGAGGATGTCCTGTCGAACAAAATTCCTGTCCAGATTCCTGCCGAAATCAGCGAATTCGTACGAATTTTCCCGCGCCGATTCGCGATCTCTCGATCTCGATTCATTTCGATCGCCCCATCAGACGGAAGATTCGCCTCTCTCTCTCTCTCTCTCGTAGAATAAAAATTCTATTATGCGCAATCGATATTTGTTGCCGAATTGCGACATTAATATTGCATCGATTCTTATAGGAGCAATTATCTCGCTTGTCGAGATAAAAATTTTTACGAGAAATTCAATTAATGAAATTGTTATAATAAGAAGGTATAATAGCTTTGGCAAAATGTACGTCTCATATGTATTTGTATCAGTTGTCATTAATAAAAATAAAGACTTATCTTTCGACGCGTATGTTCTACAGACGATAAGATAATATCGATAGCGGATAGATTATCGATAATAAATATAATTGTAGAAATAAATTCAAGATATTCTCTCATTATAATATTTCTAATTTCGATGACTTTTTTTCTGCTTCCAGGACGAGGTGCTGACGATATCGGAGAAGGTGGTTGTTCGCGTACACGATCTCGTCACGTGGCTCTCGCCTACCCTGGAGTGGTCATGGGGCCGAGAGGTGTTGTCCTACCCGACGACCCCGACGTCATCTCCGGAGACCAGCCCTCTGCGATACGAAATGCCGCAGCCCCAGGTGCTAACGGATCCAGGAATCGACTTCTCGGACGTCGACAAGCAGCAGAAGGAATACGAGAGCGGTCTAAACTCCTCGAGGAAGTTGGACAGCTTCCAGACGAAGGTGGTGGTGCTCTCGTATCCCAGGTACTGCCGTTATCGAGCGCTCCTACGTAGACTCGAGGATGCCGAGCCTTCCTGGCTCTGCTCGTCCATCGCAGCCGCGTTAGGAGGCTTCACCGCGACCCCCGGCACCAGGGTACTCTTCTGCAGAGACATCTTCGACTATCCCGATCTCGAAACTCACGAGCTACTATGTAACCATTTAGGTATGTACGATCGTTGCAGCATTTTTGATTTCTATTCAATTCGCAAAAAAGGTCTATAATCTGCTTCGTTTTTTTTTTTTAATGTTATATCTATTTTTATTCAATTGTAGATAACGCAAAATGTCTCGTAAATTTTGTGACACACTCGCGTGCAATTTCGAAAAATTATTTCGAAACAAATAAAATGATAATTTTTATATTGCTTGTGTGTAAAATTTCGAAAAAAGTGTTTTTAAAAATTAAAGTATATTTGTTATAATTAATAATAGATAGGTGTATACGATTATTTATTATTTAATTTTAACTCGATTCACAAGTTTTGATTCGCAAAGAAAGATTTTACAAGGAATTTATTTTGTTATTTATGTTATATCTCCATTTTTATATAATTGTAGATAACAAAATGTCTCGTAAATATTGTGATACAATCACGTGCGTCCGAAAAATAATTCACCTCAAAACAAGTAAAATGTATATGATAATTTTTTATCACTTGTGTATATAATTTCGAAGAAAAATACTTTCAAAAATTAAAGTATTTATGTAAAATATTTATCTATATTATAATTAGATATTGAAACATTTGTGCGTATGTTTATTTTGTAAGACGCTTGTAATATATACGTGACCTTATAGAGTTTACTTACATGACACTACGTATATACTCTGTATATGTTGTGTGTATATTTCTATATATAGAGCGCGTTATCTATTAATATTATAAACATAGATATCGATTAAGCATCGCTATTTATTATTTACTTTTATTTATTCTTCGAAACATATTAGTAATCATAAAAGTACTAGTATGCTTGTGGTATTAAAATTTTATAATACTTTTCTCTCTCTCTCTTTTCCTCTTTGTCTCTTTAATTCTTTTAACTAAAGTTATTTATAAAATTTTATTTCGTATTTTTTCTTGTTTCATGTAAAAGAATTAATATTTTAGTTATGCTATTTCGAGTAGATGTCTCGCGCTCTTTTTCTCTTTTTCTCTTTTGTAATAATCTTTATTTTTAAAAATGTTTTTAATATAACATCATTTTTGTTGTAAAAAAAATCGATAATTAACGCGCAGAAAAGGAAAAAAGTATAAAAATATTACAACTACTAAATATACCAATATCCGGAGAACGAAATTGTAATTAGAAGGAAGTTTTATATTAGAGCATTAATTGATTTTTTAAGTCTCTTCAATTTGTCGTGCAAATTAATACGATAAAAATCAATAATATAATTTTTTATATATTTCAATAAATGTCCTGCAGTCATATTTTCACTTAATAAAATCAAAGTGTTTTCTCTACTATCTTTTGAAGTTTGCACGAGAAAGGGAGAAAAAAAACGTGTCGTTATGTCGTTATACAATTAAGAAGAATTTGAAAGGAAGAAACGGTCTCGAAAAGTGAACGATATTACATTTTCCATTCGTTTCTATATTTTTTTTTTTTTTTTTTTTTTTTTTCGAGAAGAAACACAATAGCTAACATACATATACACACATCCATACAAAGAGATGCCGATTGCAAACACACCGCGCCGCGACCTTAACGATGGACGGAGCTATTGAAGGACCGGGGGAGCTGTATGTCCGCGCCGGCGCTGACAAAAAAATCTGACTTCGCGGTAAACTCGTTTCATTGGGCCGCGTGTGCGATGCCGGCGACGACATCCCGTAGGATGTAATAGATCAGATAAGGCCCAAGCGTCGCGAGCGGTATCGAATGGCTAAGCGCTTAGATCCCATTGTCAGCACGCGGATCCGTCGTTGTCGACGCTCGCATTCGTTGTTTTCTTTCTCGACGCACATCGATCGCGCGCGTAAAGCGAGACAAGCGGCGACACGCGACGACTCACGTGCACTTGCGTTCGAATCGGGTGATCGAAGAAGAAAGAAATAATCGTCGTACCCCGTGCGACGTGTTCGACGTCGATTTCGTGGATCGAAAACGCCGGCGACATCAAAGAAGAGTGTTCGCGATCGCTAAGTGTTTCCTTTTTTTTTTTATCGATCTAATTCATCGCCATCGGGACAGTTTTATTGCGTTGCCACGGTGTACCGTCCATCGCGATTCAACGAACGTAATATTGTTTTGTGTGTGTGTATAAGAAGTTGTGTAAATTATATACGTGTAGAGTTTGACGAAGATAATGCGCAGGAAGATCGCAATCTAATTGATTTGTGTTGTGTTGACGCGATATATACAATTTCGGGAATAGACTAATTATAATCGATTTTTGTTTTGAGACTTTGAAAAACTTGGGCGAATTTATTTTCGCCAACTGCTTGATAAAAGGAAGAATCGCGACTCGTCGTTTGTTTCGTCTGTTTTTCTTTCGCTCGTCGTATTTTCACAAAGTCTATATATTGTTATCCGAAGTGAAGTTCACGTTGTTTAAACCGTTGCCTGAAAACTATTATGATTATTGTGCGATCCTCGATGAGGAGGTAATTGCGAGTAACTGGAACTCTCCGACACACTGACGCAATGGCCATCGTAATGAGAATTCGAAATAATCAAGTAGTTTATCTGAATATACCCGGTAAGAGACAGTGGGATATATTTTGTAAGGAAATTACTGAAATAAATCTGAAATTTGCGTTCTATCTAGTTTGTTGAATGTAGCGTGACATACATTTTGTCAATATAATATACAAAAACGAGACCGGTTTTTATATAACACGAAGTTAATATATACATATTTAACACGTAGTTCACTTCGTGTTAAATATGTATATATGAAATATACGAGTCACTGTCGAACTTTTTTAAAGCATTTATTAATCACGTATTGCCTTACATGTTTTTTAAATTCATTTTCGCAGAGAATCGAATAAATTATTATTACCGATAAAATTGAATTCCGATAATTGTCAATGTTAATATTTTATAATCTAGAATGATTGCACTCAAAAAATTATACACACAATATTTTGTCATCTTATTAGATATAAACGATATATATCGAGGATTCAGATAATTCAAAATTACAATTTTATATTGCAATTTCGTATAAATATTGTTTCTAAATAATTAATAATACCAGTCACGCAAAATAGAGAGAGAAAGAGAGAAAATTGTATTTTATGTAGATATTTTCACAACATATTTTCATTGTTGTATTTTATTGCAAAAAAATGTTATTAAATAGTTAAACTAATAAAGTTTCGTATATGATACCGATCGTATATCAAAGATAAACCACATTAAGTTGTGTTATTACGAATTTTCGAGACATTTCGACGTTCCAATATGTTTATCAATATAATACTCTGTATCAAAATAGACAGAGACTTTCTCGACCTTGTAACCGTACACTATTATGAAATATTCAACTGAAATATTCATACGCATCATATTTTGATTCTTACCGTGTTTTACTACATGCTTACAATTATCACATTGAAACAAATATTTCGTAAAATACATGTGTAATTTTAGAAACATCGCGTGTTTGCCATCCGTATTAAAAATTAAAAATGTTACATATGTACATACATAAATATATACTTCAATTTAAGAATCTATCATACAAATTAATTTTCAAATATGACATGTAAAATATAAAAGATGTTTCAATTATTTTAATGCGATATATTCAACAAATTTCGATTAGTCATTGAGTAATATAAAAATATTTAATTTTTCAAAACATTCTTTATCTATATTGTTAGTTTTATCGGGCGATCATTATTTCAGTCATCATTGCGACATAAATAATGTAGTATTCTTACGACATTGAAACAATTATGTTTCAAAATACACAAAATTGTTTCAAATGACACAAAATATTTGCACAGCAATAAAATTGCTAGCTTCTTTTTTTATAGAACGACCTTATTTAAAAATATCAATATGTATGAATAAAGAATACAGCATTAAATATGCAAATCAAGGAGATAAATAAATAATTTAGCATTCTTACTGTATCGAAACAAATATTAGTGACACGAAATAATTACACTGTAATAAATATCCTAACTTCTTTTTCTATAGAGCCTTATGGAAAAATCAATATGTATGAATAGAGAATACAGCTTTCAATATGCAAATCAAAGCGAGAGCTAAATAATTTAGTATTCTTATTCTTATACGATATCGAAATAATTAGCGACACGTAAAAATATTTATGTAGCAGTAATTATTTAGCAAAAAAATTTAATGAATCAGAGAATGTTATAGTTTTTCCCATATATATGCAAATCTTCTTTCTTAACAACGATTTAATGTTTATCCGGTTTTTTTTCAGCGCCAAAATTAAAGGGCAGACCGCGGCGAAAACGTAAAAAGCGTAGCGCTTCGCCGGGCGAATCTTCGAACGAGAGCGAGGCCTCGGTGGCGTCGACGTCGAGGAGCACTCCCGCGACCAGCAGCACCAGCCTGGTTATACCCACGGTCGGGCGACCGCCATCCTCCGCGGTACGGCGGAGCGAGAGGAAGACCAGCGCGGAGGAGAAGAAGTTTATCACCGACGTGCAGAGTTTTATGAACTCTCGGGGTACGCCGGTCGGAAAGATGCCACTGCTGGGCTACAGGCAGAGTCAGTATCTAGTTCTTTTTCCTCGGTATCCGATGACCGGTCTTGCCACCGGATGGCCCGATCGATTTTTTACAATGTTTCGAATTTCAATACGCGCGATTCGACCGTTCAGACTGCAGAGAGCTAACGTACAGCAGAGGGTTTCCTTCTCGCAAAAACTCGAAATCTCACGATCTCGCACTCCCCCCCCCCCCCTCCCCCTCCGTTACGATTCCGGACGACGATTTTAACAACGCGCTTTCTTTTCATCCCCAGTCGATCTCTTCCTGTTCTACACGAAGGTGCAAATGCTCGGTGGTTACGATTCCGTCAGCGCCGGCCGTCTTTGGAAGACCATCTACGACGACATCGGCGGTAATACGGGTTCTACGAGCGCGGCGACTATTACACGTAGACATTATGAAAGGTAAAACGTATTCCGAGAAATATTCAATATATTTTCTTATTACATTTTTTCTCCCCACAGATATTTTTGTTCGTTCATATTTTTTCTCTTCCTACACGGAGAGAATTTTCTCTTAGAATTTACCCTGAAAATCATCCGTGGGACAATATGGTATTGGAAGAATCTTATAAGAGTTTCTCTGATTAATATTTACCACAATAAAAAATATTAATATGTACATAGGAAAATTAATCAAACATATTTTATATCTTATTGTGATAGATATTCATATTTTTATTGTGGTAAATATTAATTAGAGAAGAGAAACTCTTATAAAATTCTTTCGATATTATATTGTCTTAGATTACTATGATTTTCAGGGTAAATTCTAAGAGAAATTTCTCTCTGTGTACCAACAATTTTCAATGTTTTTAAGCTTGTGCTTGTACGATAACGGAGAATTTTTTGCAGATTGTTATTACCTTACGAAAGGTATCAGCGAGGCGAAGATACAAAAGTAAGACTGAATCATGGACGACGTACCAAGAGTATGAGCGGGTTCGAGGATTCAGATGTCAAGGAAGAGCCTAGTGATTCGTATCCATCAAAGACACCTCCGCCTATAGAAGCAATTTCCGCGACCACATTATCACCCTTGCAGCCAATAATATCAACAGCAACGACGGTAAATGGCTTTAATTTAATCCGTCTGTCAATGATATTCGAAGGAATTTTAAATATTAAAAATGTGTCGGAACTTTTCTCCGCCCGAAACAGAGTGTCGCGAGTCTTTTATTCAAAAACCTAGAATATAAAAAATGTTCGCAAGTATTATAAATTGTCGTTAGTGTAATGTGTCAAAAAAAAGATTAAAAAACACTTTGATACACTCGAGTATTCATATATCGATCGAAAGGTGAAAATGTTGCATTGACAAAAGGATTAATTAACACCAAGATATATATATATAATAGATGCTATCACATTTCCTATGTAGCTTATATATGGCACAGATGATTTATACCGTGTATGCCTCGCTTTCAGACTCTCCTCTCGAACGAGAAACCCAAAGCAGAGTCGGGCAAGACGTCTTCGTTGCGTAGCGTACGAGTGAAACCGGAACGTCTAAAGTCCCTGAACACAATAATCGCCAATAGCGCGACACCTTCCAGCCAGCAAACTAGCCAACTGCCAAGTCCACCGCCATCCTCCAACACGTCTATTTCGACCCCGAGCAGCACACCCTCCACAACGCCGACGAACGGTAGCAGTAATAATCAGAGCGTCTTGGAGAGACAGCTCAACAGTCCTTTGATATCCCAACAAGTTTCACCATCGTGTTCGCCACCGGGCTTGCCTGTGACCAGCGTAGCGACGAATGCGTCGACGGTCGTCACCTTAACACCACCGCCGGAGAAGGATATGAAGGAGATTAAATTGGATTCCAAGCAAACGACTCTGCTGGCGCAGGGAAAGGAGAATATACCGCTGTTCGGCGGCGAGAAGACGATTATGCCGCCGGTCTCCAGATCGCCCGAAGTGATCGACCTCGAGAACGAGAGCGACACGAGTCGGGACAAGATAATCATTCCCAGTTTCAAGAAACGCAAGCTCGAGATACTCCGCGAGGGCGGCCTCGAGGTCACCGCCGTCGATCTGGATGTGCGGCCGAGCGTGATCCAGAGCAACGTCGCTGCGCCATCGCAACAGACGCCGTTGCAACAGACGCCACCTCCGGCCACGAGGCCCACCGAGGAGAGACAACCATCGATGTCGCCGTATCCGACCGCGCCCAACAACTCTGTTTCCAAATTAATATCCGTCACCGTGACACCCGACATAGGACATATGTTGCCGTCGCCGCAGGAACATCAGAATAATCAATCGCGAGTCCCAATAGGCAAGCAACAACCGGCTCATCACAATAATAATAATAATAGCATGATGAACAACAATAATGTTATGAACAGTCGGATAATAAATCTCGGTAGTTCGAACAATGCTGCGCTGTTGCAACTATATGCGAACGCGAACGTCGGACAGACGACGATTCCGCAGCCAAACAATCGCTACGTACAACCAATCGTTCCGAATGGCAGGTTGTTGCCGCCTAAGGTGACGCAGTCGAGGTCGATATTCACGCATAACGAGAGAACGGTTTACGGGAATCCGAAAGATGTTCTTGTCTCTCCGAAATATCATCGTTCGTTGCATCCGCATCAACAGTCGCCGCATCAACAACCGCCGCAGCAACGCTCGCAATATTGCTCGCAAATGAGCAACGATATCGGACAAGGGGGTGTTCTCGATCTTACGCAAAAGTCCAACGAGAAGCCGTTCCCCAGGCCCAGTCTAGAAATAGTCAGAGTACCTGTAGTGCCGAGGCCTAATCCGTTAAATCTGGAAGTGCGGAATTTACCCGCGGCTAAGGACAAACCGACTTTAGACAGATCTTCCGCCGATTGTTCGAAGCGAGTACCTTTTCCTACCTATCAGAACGTAATTGATAGTCGAACCATCGCTTCGAACAACCTCGAGATTACTCTCGTAAATCCCAAACAGAAAAACAATCATCATCCAAATACACCGTCTCACGTCCAAATACCGAGTCCACCTAATAAAAGTAATCCAATGGGGACGATCAGTAGTAGCGCGCAGAGAAGACAACCACAGCATCAAGTGAATGGAAAGTATACGATGAGAAACGAACCAATTTCACCGTATACGCCGAGGAAACCGAGTCATCCCGTCATACCAAACGTACCCAACTTGAATCACTTGAATCACAGTGGAAATTCGTACCCCAGAATGCAGGCAACGACGATGCAGCACCAACAGATGAGCATTGACAGGAGGAAAGCAGCCGCGGATCATCAGGCCAGCAGGGATCATCAGCATCATCGTAGGATCAGCGAGAGCGACAAGTCGTCCCTGACGGCGCAACAACAACAACAGCAAGAATGTAGGCAGAGTGAGACAGGCCGACGACACAGTTTACCCAGTATACCATCGGGTTTTGTGCCGACGGTGCCACAAAACAATTCTGCCGCATACCCGTTGCCACAACTACCAAACGCACCCGGCAAATTCATACCGATGCTGGACCCCATGTACTACCCTGCGTTTTACAACGGCTTGTTCCCGCCACCGATTCCGCCCACGGCCACCGCTGCCGCGACGTCGTTTCTACCGCCGGAATTTAGCGCGTATTACAAGGAATTACTAGTTTCCTCGCAACCAAGACTGACGGGGATAACGGGGCAGCCGCCGTATCAGCAGCCGGCCGCTCCAACGTCTAAATAGACAATGGGATCTCAACATGTAGGGTTTCCGGCATAGCGAGGGATGCTTCGATTACTAGAGAAACATGGATCCGTCGGACTTGTTTTAAATATAAAATATAAATGTATAAATATACATGTATAAACGAAAATATACATGTATATGCCGCGCACGAAACGCATATTGTATGGGTGAATATAAATTGCGGCACATTGAGATTATCTAGTATCATTCAGTTATGTTGTTTTCATTCGATTAGTAGACAATCGGTTATTATTCACAGTGTTCATTTATGGTGGAACAAGAATAGTCTCGTCAGAGTCTTGTGCAAAGATAAAATGAAATATCGACGGATTTGGTTATGTAATTGATTACAAGTATTTATGTAATTTAGATTATGCGCATTCGTTTGACGAATTGCAGTAATGTGTTAGAGTTTTCGTTCATTTTATCGCTCGAGATTTTGAAAGATTATTGATATTAAGAAAAAAAAGATACACCCTGTGATAAAAAATGCGTCAAAATAGATTACTATTCAAGAAGACATTCGATGGAGTATTACCATGGAAAATTGTTATTTTTATATGTTTATTTTATGTAAATTGTTTACGCGTGTTTTTCAGTTTCTTAATTGCATTGCAAGGCAAACAAATTCTGATTTAGAAGATTGCGTTTTAAGTGTCACGTTAGAGCTTCCAAATATTTTTTGTTTGTTAGACTCTTCCTGAAAATTATCTTTCTTTTTTCAAAGCGTACACACAAATGCATATGTATTCTTATCGTTAATTTCGAGTTCAATTTTCATTCAATTTTTATTTTCGTTTTATAAGCTCATTATGATTTATTTTGAATAAACTGTGTGATAAAGATTCGAAACAAAGAAGAAATAGAAAAAGTGGAAGAATAATAACTAATATTTGTAACCGGCGGATCATCGGAACGTGTAATTGTTTACTGTATAATGGTAAATCTTATGTAGTAACGCTCGCGAAAACCCTATGTAATGTATAAGTTAGACAATTTTCATTCTAATAAAAAAAGCACTCGTACAAACATACACGTAAACACACACAATCGCATACACCGATCTGTAGTCACTTCTAATGATTAATAAGCGCACGCATGCAATGTTATAGCAGCGAAATGTATATAGTGTATATAATCACGTAAATCATTAAGCTAGATAAATCCTGCATTATCTTTCAACATTACGTAAGGAAGTTAAGTTTAGTAAATGTACAGGCTGTCTTACTCGTGTGGCCAACGATTGTCGTGTCGCTGTTTCTTTACGAAGAACGAAAACGATATTTTGCAGAGAATATATTTCCGATTTTGGGCTTTTTTTTCACTCAGAAACATTTGAAGAGCTTTTATTTTTCAACATCGTGTATCAATATATGCGCGGAAGAGCACGTAGTATCCGTTTATTTCACTTCATTTCACTTTGATGGAAACTAAAAAAAAAACTAAAGCAATTGACTGATTGTTACGCGGTCGCTGCTGACATCGCGGGCCACCGCAATACTTTGAGGAAACAGATTTTAAAAAATTTACCGACGGTATATCCATGTTAAATGTAGACATATTGATAGAATATGTTCGTTCTAGGAATACTCTGATCAAAAGAAATAAATATGAAAATAATGTTAAAACATTCGTAACCCTAAGACGTACAAGAGGGAAGAAAAAAAACGTCCATTCCGGGTCGTTCTCTGGTAAAGAAAAAAAAATCAGATTTCTATATTGATGTCTTTCAAGAATTATGAGTTGTTCACATTTTTTCGGATGGTTCTTTCGTGATAAGAGAGGCGTTCCGGCGCCGATTGCGAAACCGCGGCTGATTAAGAACAAGCCTTTCTTCCAGTGGTATTCAACGAGTCAGACATATAAGAATTATCGATTGCAGAGCGCAAGAATCGGGCACAAGATGAGACGCGAAAAAAAAACCTACGCTACCACTGTTGTTATTTTTGTAAGACCGCGGCTTGACTTCCGGCGATCCGGGCGCGTCGCGACTCTTCATCGTCGCGTCGCGTCACTTTTCGAAATGGTGCTATGCGACGAAAAATTCTATTAGTAAGTCTTTTTCGAAAATTTTAACGGGCGTTGTTGGGTACCAGTGGATCTCTGGCGCGATCGCCCGAAAGAACTACAATCTTAAGATATAATAGATCTTCACGTCCAAGTCTGATAATCGTATACAACAAAAAGAAGCTAAAAGGACTCCACGGGTTCTAGCGTATGTGTAAAAAAAAGAGAGAGTAAAGTGGAATATATACGAGTTCGTTATGGTTGCGACTCGGCGTAATATCGCGGGGTTATATACATATATGTTCGTACAGCGACGAGGAAGCAAAACGCAACGCTGGCGAAAAGGATAGCAAAACGGATATTGTCGAATATCCGCAAGGAAAAGGGCTTGTGTACGAGAATACGTGCCATAAAAAACTGATTAGATAGCGATTACGAACAATGGCGACGGTCATTTGTATATGCTTTTGACGAGCCCTTTAACAGTTAGAGAAACTAAGAAGGTAGACGTGAATCGAAAAAAATAAAGAATAATAATAATAATGTGCAAAATTCCATGTGGAAGATTTTATATAGTTTTTTTCCGTTTATGTTCTGTTGCCGCGATTATTCTGTAAAATCTCTCCTTTTGTAGCACGTGTGCGAGTGTACGGGATAAATATGTCAATGAATGAGTAAATGGATGAATCGTGAAAGAATCTTGGAGAATGATCAAAGGAAAAATCTATTTGTTTTCGTTCTTGCGAATTTTCATTTCAATTTATATATTTAGTAGAACGATTTTAGCATAACCCTCGCGCGTTTTCCCATTTTAATAATAATAATAATTATTATTATTATTACGATATAAATATTTTTTATTATATGGGCATTTCAGTTCCTAAGTTGGAAATAAAATATCTACTACAAACGGACTTTTTTTCATTATATCAACAAATACCAAGCAAGAAAGTCGTGCGCGTATACATTTGCAATTATACAATTTTTCTTTTCAGAAGTTTTCCGAAGCACTAAAAAATACACTATAAAAATATAGAAAGAGAGAGACTTTTTATCCTGAAAAATATATTTAGTGTTTTCTACACGGTAAGTATATCTTTTTTTAATAATTTAATAGTAATTTATTATATATAACTTGACTAAAACTAAATTTTCTTATACTTGTTACATATTATTGAAAACTTGATCAAGAATCTGAGTGATCTTACAATAAATATGTAAGAATATAATCGTTTTGCGCGTGATTGCAGATTAATTTTAATTATATGACATTAGCAATTGACATTTACATATATATTACTGTCGCATCAGGGCCGTAGAAGTTAATTGCTACAGCTATATATAAAGATAAAACCTCGAGATTTCAGTGAGTCGTATATAAAGTAGAAGTCGCGGGAAGAATACGATTAGAAATTAAGATGTCTGCTGGATGCTTCATACTTATGAGAGAGAATATACGCGCTTTATGCAGAAATCGCACAGCTCGCCCTAAATAGAAAAAACCGCTTCCATTAGCAGGACCGTCGACTCTGAACTCGACAAAACGACCGAAAAACGAAGGAAAGGAAGACACGAGTATCGCGGCGTGGAATGCACAGGCACATATGCCGCGAAATTTAAAATCTCTTTACGGCAGCTATAAACTGATAACCTGTTTAACCAGTCCCGGTGAACTGGCTGACACCGGACGTTTTACCTTCGCAAAATCATTCCTATTACGTTTTTTCCACCGTTTCCTCTTTTTCGCGTTTTTTTCTTTTCTCCATTCCGCGAGATAGGATCTCTTTGTTTTACATATCTCTACGTAGCGCTCTGCACTTATACGAATTTCGCACGATTTCGTTAGCGAATATGAAATTAGAAAATAACGGATGCATATTAGAGCAGATTACTTTTGGCAGTTGTCAAAAGCGCCATTGTATAACGTCATATTTTCTCATAAAGATATATTTCGTTTTCGTTTTATAATTATTTGTCACACAGCTCGGGCAGTTTTAATGTTAATTGCCAGCCATGTTATACAGAAAGCAACATTATTCGGAGTCCTCTCCATTTTATAAGCTTATAAGATAAAATCCTACTTTTTCGATGAAAGAGCGTCCTGCTTGCATCTCGTTCTATATCGTTGTATTCCATTCGGCGAGTTCCTTCATATTGGAGTAGGAAGATGTTTTATCTGCCAGCATCTCGGTCCTGCGCAAAATAATACAAAATATACAATTAAAAACACATGATTATAATTTTGAGGCACTTTGATTTAATTTTGATATCCATATATGTGATACTTAATAATAATAAAATATATAAAAATGATTAATGTACGTAATGTAAGTATTTGTACACAGAGAGAATTTTCTCTTAAAATTTACCCTGAAAATAATGGTAATCTTGGGACCATATATGTATACATATAGTAAATAACTATCAATAACAATAAGATATAAAATATGTTGTATTAATTTTACTATGTACGTAGTAAAATTTCCAATACTTCTTCCAATACCATATTGTCCCATGATTATCTTGATTTTTTCAGGGTAAATTCTAAGAGAAAATTTTCTCCGTGTATGCAATGCATGAGTGTCCGCAGAGGGAAGCAAGAGGAGGCATTTGCCCCCTCCCCCTTGAAACCAATAAAAAAATTAAGCTCTAAAAATGTTACTCTCCTTTTGAAGAAACACTACAATTTATTTGGATATTTAATATAAAAAAATAAAAACGAAACAAAATAAAAAACTTTTTTTAAATTAAGAAAGGACAAAAATTAAAAAACAAAAAAATTAATTATGCTCTCTTCTGGAATTAATTCTGCGGACGTCCATGATGCGACGTAATACTTCATCTAGGTATACCATCAATTCAAGTCAATTAATATTTATAGTTCGTCAAATCAATAGTACATTTATCTATCTGCGACTAAATAGTCGATAAATATCTATCCTATCGCTTGTAAAATAAAAGTCAAATTTTCTTGTGATTTCACGCTTGTTATAATAATAGCTAAAGTGTATACGAATGCTGGGATATATATGTATGTATATTGGTCCTCCACGCACGCACGGACTCATACGCACGACGAGCGATGATTAAGGTAGTGGGCAAAATTGTGTTTACCTCTCGATCCCCCCGGTGACAATCGACAAACACACACGGTCGTTGTAGTATTGTCGCGCATCGCCGCATGCCAAACCGCCCCTATGTACACTGCGGGATCGCAGTTTAGAGCCGCATTCGCCCACGAGAATCCGGCTGGAGCAGCCGCGTGTCTCTATCGCGGTTAAGGCGAGAGCTTTGTCATTGACGGCGAGCCTCGCGCGGGA